CTGTAACAGGAAAGTTGTACAGACAGTATTAATATGTCTGTTTATTCACGTTACAGACGAGTGACTGTAACAGGAAAGTTGTACAGACAGTATTAATATGTCTGTTTATTCACGTTACAGACGAGTGACTGTAACAGGAAAGTTGTACAGACAGTATTAATATGTCTGTTTATTCACGTTACAGACGAGTGACTGTAACAGGAAAGTTGTACAGACAATATTAAAGTCTGTTTATTCACGTTACAGATTTGTTGTGGTGTGAACGCCTTTACCAAACAAGAAAAGCATGATTATTATTAATTATGTTGGTCATAAGATATTAAGCCTATTATATTTTTAACGCTGCATTCAAGAACTGTGTTGTAACAAATGGCTTACATAAGTGGTGTACTGACCACTGTTCTGTTTGTTGTATCCCAACCGTTCCGATTATATCCGGATTGAACGAAATGTATATAACCAATACACTGCAATCGGAATACTATTATTATACGCTCTTCTAATTTAGATAAAGAATGCAGTGTTAAGAATATAATAGGCTTAATACTAATGTCTCATGACAAGTGTAATTAATTAAACTGTAGGTTTTATACAAACAATGTACGATAATTATGTTTTATTAAAATGTATTATTTGTGTGTAAATGTTTTAACACCGACAAAACTACATATGTGTCTTTTTCTCTTACAGTTTCTTCAATTATATCAAGCTTACTAGAAAATAAATTTACTTATAAAACTGAAATTCACTCCATGCTTAAATAAACAGTGGAAAAATATTTATCTTCTGATTCAGACAAATATTCGAATAACTGTACGATTTCTTTCAACCAATTTCTTTAAGTATGGTAATAAAACTTCCCTCTCGTCTCCATGTGCTAAGTATGTAAACATGAATAAACTGGCATCCACTTCACTTTAACTGACCCATTTGTCTTCTTAAAGTCACCGAGATAGAATAAATAGAATATATTCATATTAAGATCTTTTCTGAATAACTTATTTCACATACATAATGTTTAATGTTATGTTTTCTCCATGGAAGTTATAGTCAAATGTTTGAAAGTATTTCATGTTTTCTCCATGGAAGTTATAGTCAAATGTTTTTTAAAGTATTTCTGTTTTCTCCATAGAAGTTATAATCAAATGTTTTAAAGTATTTCATGTTTTCTCCATGGAAGTTATAGTCAAATGTTTTAAAGTATTTCATAAGCGATACTGAAATGACATAGAATTAAATAGAAAAATTGTTTTAAATAATTTTCTAAATCACGATATATATATATTTGAATCAATTCTAGAGAGTCGTGTCTTTGTCGCGTTGATTTTCTCAATCTTATCCGAACCAGTAACGAAATATAAAGTTAATACTTGAAAACGTCAATATCTGGCGAAACTTCATAATTACATAATTCAAGAAAACAAAGACAATTGTATGTTTCACAAATGTTTAATTTATTACGAATGAATGTCAAAGTTACTTCCGGTTCTTTGGTTAAACATATATATATGTATGTCAACGCTACTTCCGGCTAAACATATATTTGAACGTCATAGTTACTTCCGATTCTTTGGTTAAATATATACTTATGTCAAAATTACTTCCGGTTAAACATTTATATATATTTATCTGTTTATAAGTTAGTTCAATCCGCATCTGATGCCTTTACTAGCTAAACATGGTCGCAATAAAACAAAGGTTTGTGTTTGTATGTTTGTACACAATGGACTATCTGTGCTGTGCCCATCAGGGGTGTTGAAACAGTTTTTTTAGCGTATAAGCGTTATTGGAGGGCCAGAGATTTGTGAAGCGTACAATTGTCCTCAATTCTGTAAATATAAAGTTGTAGTATCGCTAATCATACAGTTGTACAAGTAGAAACTTTGCAATAAAACTTAAGTACCTTTGTTATACAAGTAGGAACTTTGCAATAAAACTTAAGTACCTTTGTTTGTTGTTATTGTTGTTTCTCTCTTGCTAACGTTTATATTGGTTTTGTTTCAAAACTAAAATGAACTCATGTGGCGTTATAAGGAATGTTATCAAAAACTTCTAACGAGTGCCAATTTCCGTGGAAATGTATTATTATTATTACAGTGCAGACGAGAGAATCGACAGCACGTTTCCTACAAACGTTGTGGTCCAGCACAACGGAAGTTGTTCGTATATTCCACCGGGAATCTTCAAGAGCACGTGCAAGATTGACATCACATGGTTTCCGTTCGACGATCAGAAGTGTGTAATGAAATTCGGATCCTGGACTTATGATGGAAACGCCTTGGACCTCTTACTTCCTAGCGAAGAAGCGGATCTCTCCAACTATTTAGTCAATGGAGAGTGGGATCTGATAGGTATTTCGCAAATGGAACATCTAACACTGCAGGATTAGCAGGCTCATTTTTGGCCCTTTATCAGGGCTAAAGTAAGATTAGCTTATTAGCTCAGCAAAGCAAGTACGTGAAGCTTTCTAGAAAAGTAAATATTCAACTTGAAAAAAGAAATATTTCTAGACTACTTTGACTACAGCTTTTATCTGGCATTTAGCACTACAGATTTAGCATGTTCATTCTTGGCCATTTCTAAAGATGAAAATAGGCTAAGCTAAAGTTCAATTAAAGACGAAACGAAGTTGATAGAAAACTAAAATATTAAAAAAACGAAAGATTACCGCACGAGGTTAAGGGCATTAAAACATGTCTAGAGCACCTTGCAATGATTAGGATTAGTGACAAGAGACTTAATAACCATGGATAACTTAAACGTAATGTCTATCCAGCTAGGAATGATTAATGGAATTATACATAGGAAGCATAAAACTAGCATGTGTTTGTGCCTCTTAAAAATTTCAAAATATTTTTACACGACACGAGTAAAATACAGTATAACAGGTATAAATATTAGATAATATTTTACTTATAAATACTATACAGTACAGTGAGTATAAATACTGTATAATAGTTTATGTACAAATACTATACAGTAAAGTACGTATAAAGACTATATTTACTGTATAGTATTTATACATATTGTATTATAGAATTCATACAGTATTATAGTCTTTATACGTACTTTACTGTATAGTATTTGTACATAAACTATTATACAGTATTTATACTCACTGTACTGTATAGTCTTTATACGTACTTTACTGTATAGTATTTGTACATAAACTATTATACAGTATTTATACTCACTGTACTGTATAGTCTTTATACGTACTTTACTGTATAGTATTTGTACATAAACTATTATACAGTATTTATACTCACTTTACTGGGTATTGTATTATACAGTGTTTATACGTATTGTATTATGTAGTATTTATACGTACTTTACTGTATAGTATTTATATATATATGTATTATATAGTGTTTATACGTATTGTATTATGTAGTATTTAAACGTGTCGTACTGTATAGTATTTATACATATTGTATTATATAGTTCATACAGTATTATAGTCTTTATATGTACTTTACTGTATAGTATTTATACATATTGTATTATAGAGTTCATACAGTATTATAGTCTTTATACGTACTTTACTGTATAGTATTTATACATATTGTATTATAGAGTTCATACAGTATTATAGTCTTTATACGTACTGGTATTTTATGGTGTTTATATACGTATAAACAATACATCATACAGTAGATATAAAAACTATATAACCCAATAGGTATAAACACTATATAATACAATGCGTAAAATCTATGATGTTCTACAGTATCATATATTACAACATTTGAAAGCAGCTGACAACTAATTGATAATTTAGGCTAAGGAATATCGTCATAATAATGAGATGTTATCCACATGAAATACTATCGATGACAGAAAGTGTGGTAAAAATCGGAAATAGACTATTTGTTGAATAGGTTTTTGTTTCGTTTTTTTACCAACCTCAGGTAATTAAACTTTTTAAATGTATCAGGTTTTCCCGGGATTCGCAATGTAATCTATTACACTTGCTGTCCGGAACCATACGTGGACATCACGTTCACGTTACATATCAGACGCCGGACCCTCTACTACGGATTCAACCTTATCATTCCTTGCGTTTTGATATCCTCAATGGCTCTGCTGGGGTTCGCTCTACCACCGGATTCTGGGGAAAAGTTAACGTTGGGTCGGTAACCTTATTATGACATTTCTGTTTAGGATTAGCTTTAAATTTAGACATTTCATTTGTGAATATGCGATATTATTTTCGTGATTAATTGAGATCTTAAAACTGTTTAATTATCACGATTAAAAAATGAATTATTTGAAATAAAGATTTAAGTGTTTTCAAAATTTAATAAGTTTCTGTCAATAAAACAGATATGCCAAAGAATTTTGTTTCGTAAGCAACTTAATGTGTTGTAATGTCTGCACACATATATTCTCTTTCCGTCACGATCCTATTGTTTGCTTTATGTTTAACTTAATGTGTTATAATGTCTGCACACATTTATTCTCTAGGTGTCACGATCCTATTGTTTACTTTATGTTTAACTTAATGTGTTATAATGTCTGCACACATTTATTCTCTAGGTGTCCCGATCCTATTGTTTACTTTATGTTTAACTTAATGTG